GCGGGGGTCACGCAACTGTTGTGTGAACCGTCTGAAGTGAGTTAAAACAAGAAGTGAAATATTAGGCTACTGCTCATTCTGTACTGAAAAATAGCTGCGCATCTCTCACTCTCATTCGGATAAAACATCAATACCGAGTATTTAAGTCAGTATCGATATCGAGTACTCTTGAGGCCAAAACCGGAGAATGTCAAAAGTGAGAACAGTACTACTTAAGAATGTGGGTCCCGTCTGTTTAGACTTTGCATCGTCCGCACAGAGTACTGGATATTGATACTGATTTGAATATTAGGTAAGATCTATGTTTTATCTCAATGAGAGCGAGAGATGAGCGCTGTTATTTTTCAGTAGCCTACAAAATGAGTAGAAAATTTCACTTTTTTTTTACCAAAGGGGGGTTCAGGTGCCCCCTGACCTAACAGAAACATGGGGGGATTTCAAGGGGCCCCTCCTGAATTTGACCGTAATTTGATGTTTTGCAATTAGGTTTGATATCTCTCCATATTGGCATGCGCGTCAAAAGTAATCGTTTAGAACCAAAAATAATCACCGGTGGGGTAAAAACTAGAAAATCCCCAAACGGGACCCACATTCTTAAAAGTAGTAGCAGTGAGAACTGCACTGTTCTGAGGTTGTGTCATTGTTGATCAACTGTGATTGATAATTTTGTCAACGAACGAAAGTCGCAATCAGTTTCGGAAATTGCAGTTCCGACTCTTCAGATTGTAGGCCTAGGTGAAGAAGGTACTGGGGGGAGGAGGAGGAGGGGAGCACAGACTCAGTCAAACAATACAGTTTAGTAAGCCTTCTTTGCTTTAATGTTAAATTTGGGGTTTCATGAGCCACACTTGCTGACTTGCCCCCTCCTTCCTAAATGTAACATTTTTTTTAAATTGTCTGATTATAATAGTTGTGTTGCTCTTTCAAATTGGGTCTTTGAATGAGCATTAAAGTTTGTTTTTTTAGTGTGTTGCTCAATTGTGGAACAATAAAAAATGTATTGGTTGTATTAGCCCTATTCAATTTTATATATATATACACATGATATTCCCAGCAAAGTGGATGAAGATTATTACTTTGGCACACTTGATAATGATCTTGGTAAATTGGTAATAATTAATAACAATGTGGATACTCAGTTACTCACCAGCTGCTCTTGTCTAAATTATGTGCTCTTTGACACCCTTATGTGGTCCCTTTTCATCCTTGTATCTTTTTGTGTTTTATGTACTTCCTACTGTTGTCATAGTTCTTCTATTTAGGGTGTCTCGTGTATATTTCAGATGAAAGACGTCCTTCAAACAGTGAGAAAAAAAGCATGTTTTCTGTGAAAAATGTCAAATCAAAATGATCACTGTTTGCAACACTGTTTATCCTTTTTGATGGCTTTGAACTGCCTTGTAACCTACAGATGCTTTAAGATGTACCTGGCTTGAGAAAGAAAACAATTGTAATGCCATTTCATTTCCATTTCTTCCCTGATAGCACTTTTTTAAAACGAAAATTTTGTTTAGGTGTGCATAACCTTTGGCAGCTTTCCAAAGGCCAATGGTAACTTGGCTTATGTGTGTTTCTGATACAGAGAGCTCTGTCTTTAGATGTGTTGCTGATTAGACTGCTTATTTTTAATTTGCCTGTCTAAATGTTGTTTGTGTTTTCTTTAGCAAACCCGCTGCTCATTACTGATGTTAATCTGGTTTTTCCCCACTAATGATGAGAGCTGGGTGTTCTTTTTCCCGTTTTGAGAAAAAGTACTTGAGTACTAAAGATAGTATGTTGAAAGACTGATTGTATACGCCATGCTCTATAAACTTCCTGTCTCAATAAATAGAAAAATAGCTTGATATTAAGGGGGCTCGATACTTACGGGACAACATTTTTAAAACTAAAGACAAACTGAAACAATTTTGTCACAGGCAGTAATTATGAGATGAAAGATTCATGTTCAACTTCTGACACACTCGCTTAAATAAGCTGTTGCCATTGAAATGACGGCCATCTTGAAAATTGGATAGAAAGAAAATCGTAGAGGTTTTTTTTTTCTCCACCTTTTCTGCAGTTTTTAACTTTTACAAATTCTGTAACTTACAAAATGTCACAAATAAATAGGTGCTCGCAGCTGTCTATTTCAATGTTCAATACTATACTTAGAAAGTATCCAAAATTGTTCTCAAAGTTGAGGATATGGAATTTGATCTTTAAAAAATATTTTTGGCATGAAAAAAAAATGTGCATAAAAAATTCTAAAGCGAAATGTAAAACAAAAACTAACCAGCCCACTACCAGTACAAACCATTGCTCTAACTACATGCCAAATTCCAAGTCTCTATGTTTGGAAAATTAAAAAATGGCATATATGCAAACAAAAAATGGTGAAAAAGTGTGTTTTGAGAAAAACAAGGTTAAACATCGAACATGTTACAACACAACGTAGAACACAATAAAATTGAATTCTGTTAATGTTAATCACTAGTGTCAATATAATCTAGACTGAATGAGGGATCGGAAAATACCAAAAGTAAAAAATGCTCAAAGTGAGTGAAAATCAGTCCGCGCGGCCCTAGACCCAACCCTCAAACCCCCTTAAATTTGAAATGAATCGTTTCAATGGACCATTTTTCCCTGTCTGTACATAAAACTAGATATTTTTGAGTGTTTTGTGTTAAAAATCACCTTGTACGGCAAAGGGAAGTGGAGTTAAGTCATATTTCTTGCAACAAGGAAGAATATATGTGTCCTGCAAAATGTTAAGGGTTGAGAAATAAGAAATACTTCATTTTGTCCTATTCTGCTGAAATTACCACCTCGCATTTATTACAACTGTGCTTGTTTTGTTCATATTGATTTTTCCCTCTTTTCTCATGCATATTCTTTCAAGCAACTTAGATTTGGGTTGAAATTGATCATTGGACTTTAAACAAATATCTTTATTGAATAATGAATGAATACTTCAGTAATGTGATGAGCTACTCTGACTTTCTCACAAGCATTACTCAACTGCCATAATTTTATTTTTCATGTTTTATTCTGAGAATAAAGTCCCCCTAAAGCATCTCTGTCACTTCCACGGTCCACAAGCATGAGATTTTTTCCCCCTGATTTGTGAAGCTCTATGTATTTTTTTATGCGCTACTGTAGAGACAGAAGAAATTCATGTAAAAAAAAAGTATGGTCAACAAGAGTCAATTATAACTGAATTTTATATTTATATCCTGCAAATGTCTTGCATATAAATCCAAGAGAATCTTTGGAAGTATTTGTTATCATATGATATGAAAGTGCAATGCAAGTTTGGTATCTGAGAGATTTTGTTGGAGGAAAAGTTAATTGTGTTTACATCTCTGATACTAAGTAAAAATTGAGGATTCACAATTGTTTCGAGTGTGTTCACTGGCCAAATGAAAGTTCCCTTTTATTTCTGTTGTGTGAGTCTTGAATTTTTGCCTTGGATTTAATCATGACTTTGTCTTTGCTTGGTTACAGATTCGAAAAGAAACAAACAAACATTTGCCTCTAAGGAAAAAAAAAAATCCCTACTGTCTGCTAATTAGTATATTTGCAACAGAATTGGTACAAACTCTATTACTGCAAGCAAATATTGTAGTGTGAACTTAATTTTTGTTCGTAAAAGTTTAGTTTGAACAGACGTGGGATGTACGCCTGTATTATTATAGAGAAATTTCCAAGTTTTTTTTGGCGCCTCTTTTCAGTGAAGTTCATTGTGTTTTTTTCTGCGTATGTAGGAGAAGAGGCAGAGGCAGACAGCTTTGTGGGTCAGTCTTCTCCACCCCAAGGACAGCCTCTGCCTGGCCAGCCAACCAACTATTTCCAGTCTTCCGGGAGTCCTGGCTATGATCCGTTTGCTCAAGTTGGACCAGGCCAACCACCGGTTTCCACCTCTGCTGCTCCTTATGTCCCTGCTCAAATATCTGCCCCTGCCTCTAATATGCTGCCCCCCATGTCCCAGTCACCCATACCTCCTTCTGCTGCTGTGCCTCCTCCATCCCAGAGCCCTGCTGGTCAGTGACAGTTTGCTTCTTGTCTTTTTTGCAACATAGATTCAAATCATTTTAATTACTTTGGTATTGACTAGTTGTTTTCCAGAGGGTTGGTTTTTTTTAATCTGCTGAAGGAAGTCATTCTATTTTACAGAAATTTGTTATTGGTTTGTCCCTCTTTTGTAAGTCCATAAGACAGCCACATGTACTGCTGATGGTAATTTTTTTAATGGGTCTTTTTATTGAGTCTCGACATATAACTGTTATGGGGTAAAAATGAAGAACATTGATTTTGCTTACATCTTATGGAATAATTATTTCAGGGCATAGACTTGCTCTGCCGATGTTACTTGGGCATGGAATTTTATACTGCATGATGTTTGGATTTTGTGAGATGAATACTGATTTATGCCTATTAAAAAAATTTTTCATAACAGGCGGTGGAAATATCTACCGTCAAAAAGGAAGCCGGCTTCAGTATGCCCCTCCACCAACAGGGCTTGGCGCACCCACTCTCCCACCTTCAACATTTGCCCAGCTGCCCCCCTCGGGAGGCCCTCAGCCCCCTACAGCCATGGTTCCTCCCATGACGTCCTCTGCCATGCCTCCTTTCCCTCCAACTGCTCAGGGACCACCACCCCCGACAGCAGCTGTCCCTCCCATGTCTGGAGCCGGGCCCAGCCCCGCTGTGGGACAAGACGCTTCTGCGTACACGGGGGGTTTGTACTACACACCGGTCAGACACCATTGGTGTTTCCGCCAGGATCAGGGGGAAGTGGAGGTGTGGAGACCCTTCTCTGTCATTGACAGCTCTCGGTTGGAGATGGCATTCAGTACTGGTGAGGGAGTTTTTTTTGTAACATTCTTTTAGAATGGAAAGCTCTCTGACTTTCAGACCTATTGATTTTTCTTTTATTTGTTTTTTGAAATATCAGAAGATGACATGTAAAACTGAATTAATATCCTTTACATTTCCAAAAGAAGTTTTCACCTAATCTTAAGATTGTAGTATATCTGGGAGTTAATCTATTTACTTGACACTATGTCTTTTTCAATGATTTTAGAAACCTATTGACCTGATTGGCAAATCAATTCCTTTGTCATCTCCACTGGGTGCAGTAAGGTCATCATCAGTTACCATGGGGGCATTCTTTATCCTTGGTTCCAACTCTCCATTGCCTCAAGCATGCCAATGACGGCAGTCTGTTCCAGAGAATGGAATAATAAACACATAAACATTGCTTTTATGAAATTGTGAACTACAGAAGTCATTTATGTCATCTGAGCCTATAAATGCATCCTTATTTTATGGATAATATTGGGGGGTTTTTCAGACAAGATTCGTCAAATCAGCATTTATTGCCATCCATCTACCTCAGCTTCGTCCGACGTTGTGTCCTTGGGAAAGGCACTTTACACAAATTTCTCACTTGGCTCGCTCCTTTCGGAGATGGACATTAAACTCGGAGGTCCTGCATATTAAATATCCTAATAGTGTTGATAGGGGTGTTGAATCTATGCCAAATTTAATATTCTTGTGCTTTTGGTCATGCAGGTTTACAAGAGAACCCAAGCAACACTATGGTACTCACCAATGGTGGCCGCTACGACGTGAACGTTGGGAGTCGTGTTCGTACGCCTGTCTACTGGACGGAAGAGCCAAAAGCTGTGAAACGCTGTTCTTGGTTTTATAAAAGAGAAGGAGATAACCGGTACATCCCATATGAAGAAGAATTTTCCACTCGTCTAGAGGTTTGTCTTTTCTCCTTCCCATGGATCCAGTTTGGTTTGTACATGCATTCAGATTAACTTTTTAATTTTGATTTGGGAAAAGATGTTGAGGATGGAAGCTTGGGGATTTATTTTTGTTTTTCCTAGAGGATAGTGTGGGACATGAGCTAAAATCACCCTCAGAATTCATCTTCTTTCCAATAACATGTTTGTTTGTTTTTTCCAGATTTGCTGTGCAATGTCATTATTGTGATTAAACTAAGAGATATGTCAAGTGGATTTTGACTTGTGTTGACCGAAATTTGAGATTTTATTTTGTATGCTGTCATCACAGGTCATATTATTTATGCATCTCAGTTCAAGTTTATCTTAACACTGGTTACTATTAGGCATGTGTGGAGTTACTCATTCATAACATTTTGAGTTGCCCTTTGTGAAAGAAGACACTGATAAGTATTTCAATATTTCTTTCAGGATGAGTACAGGAAGGCAATGGAAACAGGGGGATGGCACCGTAGACTGGAATTTCCTGGCAACATCATCATAGTTATGCATAATGCTAATGTAATAGTGCAGTTTCCTGCCTCTGCAATGCCAGATGAGTGGGGAAATGTTCAGGTGAGTCGTTTGTGCCTTAAAGCATCAGAAATGAGCATGATATTAACTGCATATTTTTCCTGCATATTGGTGGATGTTTGCCACTTTGACAAAGTAATAAATGCGGTATCCTAGAAGTCCTAGAATGTGTAGAATTTGTTTCTCTGGTACAGCTGCTATGTTATGCAACTAAGAGACTAACTCTTTGCGAACTGTTACTGTAACTTTTCCTCTAATCTTTTGTTATCTTCTCTGATCTTACCTCAGAGTCAGAACATTTATTCTATGACGGTGAGTTTGGCTCTTGTTGTGTGTGTCTTTGTTTTTGTCGCATCTTGCAACTCTGGTGCACTTGAAGTTAATTTTTCTCTTGTTTTGCCATAGAATATTTATTCTTCCTCTGTACGAAAATGCCTGACTTCATTTTTAGGCTTTGTTTAAAGCTTTAATATTTGAGCAGATTATGATCGTTTCAGGCTTTTCTGTAAAGCCAGCTTTAAGCTTTAAATGTTGTAACTCTCTGTCAGTATTGAATGTAATAGCCACTGACTTGCTTTGCACCCTCTTGTTGAAAATTATTTCTGAATTTCGGAGTCAAATGTGCACCGTTCCGTAATGTTTTCAATACAGTTTGATTGGATGTAATAATGACTATGAACAAATCACAAATTGTACCTAAATTTTTTTTTTTTTTTTTTTTTTTTAAATTTAATTGTGGTCTACAGATGACAGAATGCATAAATGTGATCTTTCAAATTTGAATATATGTATAAATTCGTTTGAATGTAATACTTTAGAAACATATTTTTCTCTCAAAATAGTTGTTATGCTTTGCTGCGCAATCAAATTAATGCTCTGCAGACCTGTGGGCTGAAATGCCCCTATCAATTTGAACTTAATGTACTGATTTGTTTTTTAAATTCCAAGGTTCTCTGTACATGTAATTACGTCTCATGTCTGGGTTATTCCATAGCACTGAGTCCTTCCTTTTGTCTTCAAGGACACCATCTGCTCATATGATATAAAGTGTCTGGGTAGGGGAAGGAGGGCTGTTGGAAATTATCTTTGGTTAACACCTTGTGGATATTACGCTTTTAACTTGATTTATTCTCTGATGTTGTCTTTTTGCATTGCATCAGAAAGAGGGATTTTAAGATTTTACATGTTTACTTTGGTTTGCATTGTTTGTATTGTCATATATAATTTAGTAGTTCTGTAACCCTAACACCAGCACACTGTAAGCTAACTTAAACATTTTGCCTTCTCCTAAACCTTTTGCCTTCTGGAAGTATATATGGGTTAGACTGGACACTTTTTGACGGGGGGAGAGGTTGGTTCCTCATTATTAAATAGAGTACATGGCAGGGGTTGATATAAAATAAAGGGTGACCTTATTTAGGCCACATATGGCCTAAATAAGCTAAACCCCCCTCCCTTACCTTATTTAGGCCATATGTGGCCTAAATAAGCACTCCCTAAAATAAAATGCAGGTGGCCTTAACAGAAATTTTATTGTGATCAGTTGTATGGGTACTGCTCTGCATGATATTGAAATTGATTTTATGTAATTTCAAAAACGAAGGAAACATTTATTAAATCACCTTTCTTACCAAAAAAAAAGAAGAAAATTTATTTCGGATGCATATTAAGTGCATTTTGGTGTATTCATTCATACTAGTCATACTGTAGTTGTCCCAGAATAACCTCTGTTTACACCCTCTTTGCTGTGAAACAATCTTGGGCACTGGTGGTATAATTATGTCTTATTTCATTTCGCACTGTCCAAAGTTGAACTAACAGGTGTACACTAATTGTGCTGTACACAGTACAGGTTGTGTTGGTTTTTTACAATGCATCTTTAAAAAACTGACGACATGTATGCTTTGACTTGTTTGTTCTTCTTTTTTTTTCTTCTGTCATATGTGAGAGAGGATTCTGGATTGGGGGAGGGGGCTTTTGAGATGATGTATGACTAGATTATTATCAGGACAAATGCACATTTCAATTGTGAAAATTCAAAATTACTCCATATTGTGGAAAAGTATAGATTGTGAAGCACATAGAGCTTGCTGTTGAACGGGGATTTGCGCTATACAAATGCTATCTATTATTATTAACAGCTTATTTCCCAAATCATAGTAATACACATTTGATAACATGACCAGTAATTTGAGAGTAGCTGTATTTTATGGTGAAGTATTTTGGCATTTAATGAGTGCTGTTCTGTAAACTATCATATAGCTGGAATGTGCAGTACTTTGAATGGAATGTTGCAAGTTGTGTCTCCTCTGTGTTCCCTGTATTCTGCTCATTGTCCTGAGCTGCCAAAGACTGTCAGACAATCATATTTTCCCATGCACGCATTATCTTTGCTCCTTGAGATGGGATATTATTTTTCATTGGTTATTGGCTTGGGCTTGTGGAGTTTCTGATGTCTTACTCATTTCATTATCATCTCATCTGTCATCTTGCATTTTTCTTCTTTGAATTCTATTACTTCTTTCAAATCAAATCATCTTTGTTCTCAATCATGGACTTGGTTGGTGGGTGTTGTGTTGCTGTTGGGTCCTTCTGTTTCCTTTGCAGTGTAACTTTTTTTTTCTTTGTATGCTTCTATTTGAAATGGCGACACATCTCTTTTCTTCATTCTCATTTGTTAAAAATGGGACAGTATCATTAGTAAGCTTTATAAAATCTTTAAGAAATAGGATGCGTAAGAACAAGTATAATATTGGTTTTTATCACAAGGAGCCACGATCACTATGATAGGTTAACACATGAAGAACCGTAAATTTATTTAGGTTGTTGAATAAACAACTGTCTTTGCAGCTTTTCTTTTGTTTGTATCAGAAGATTACCTCACAAACCAAAATATAGGTTTTCGGGTGAATAACACATTTACTATGTTTTATGATGGAATAATGACTGTTAATTGTGTCATCATTTTCATGTTATGTTGTTTTAATAATCTACTTAGGGTGATCAAATGCGACCTCGTGTGGTGAAGAGAGGAGTTGATGATTTTGCAACAATAGAATATGGTAAGTTTTGGTTAGAAAAACGATACTCTTGTATTAGGTCAAGCATATTATATTTTTGTATAGAAAAATAAAAAGTGTAATCTAATTCCATCAGACAACTTTTCCACATTTTTGGTAGATAAAGGAATTAATATGTGGTTGCCAACAAAATGAGGACTAATCTAGTTGATACACTCGCTTTGTTTGAAATAGATGAGAATTTTGGTTTTGTGATGTTAACCTGATGTTTATAATGTGTACATTATTATAATGGAAACATTTTTTTTTATTTTCAGGTGAGAGGGAAGAAGTGGACCATCTTGTCTTTTTTGTGCCAGGCATTGAGGATATGTCAGATGTAAAGGGGAAGTCAGTTGAAGCTTTTGGTAAGTTCTATTTATTTTATGTCTACTCTGTAGAATTTATTTTTAGATGTCATGGTTCTAGACAGTTTTTTTAATTCAAGTTCAAAATAGTGTTTGAAATGTGGATTTTAAACTAGATCTTCAGCAAGACTGAGTATAAGTTATAGCAAGTTGTCATAGCAGTGCAGGAGGGAGATACACAAAAAACAAGAACAGAAGTAGTTGTAGGAATAATATTATGTACCAGTGTAAGCATGAGCATGCTTATGTCTATGACTGGTTATGTTGATGCACATGCTCATGCATTTGTACACTTGTTTCTTACTTTGTGTTTCAAATCATTCGGATATTTTATATTTTGTGACTATACTTCTATTATATTATGAGTGGAATTATTTGCTATGAAATATGGGTCTTTAGCAAAATTCAAATGTTTTTGCCTTAATTTTTTTTGTATATGTATGTTCTATTGTGATTTTGTTGTTGCAGTTGACGACTTTCGCAGCAATACTCTGAACCTCATGCAGTCCCACTTCACACAAGCTTTTCAGGCTAAGAGTGTTAACAGAGTGGAGTTCTTGCCTGTGGTGTGGACGCAAGCTTTGAATAATGGTGCATCAGGGGCTAAAGAGTAAGTTATGGATCATTTAAGTGCTCGTTGTGGGAGTCGGAACTGGCAATAAAAGAAATGGGAGATCACCTAAGCCTTTTAAGAGAAACATGACCTATGTGCAGGACATAAGTCTTTTTCTGAGATTGTAGGTGGTATTTCTTTTGCCTATTGTTATTAACACATTACACCCTAACTCGCCCGGGACCACTCGGAAATTCCCTTACGCGCTCCACCCTGACTCGCCTGGAACCGCCCGCGCTGACTTAGCGTCTTTAGAAACGAAGTCTCGCCTTGATGAGACTCTGGGGCCGAGAATTTGATCTGCATAGTTATTGCAAAAAGTTTCTTCTTTCGTTTGATACCGAATCAAAATTTTTCGGGCCAGTAGTTTTAGTATTAGAGCCGAACGAAGTGCGATCGCGTTACCGACACTTCGAAAGTGTCTCGACTTATTGAAAAACGACGCAATTGAGTTCAAAAAAGGAAATAACGATGGATTTGAGCAAAAACAAGAATGTGACAAATCAGATGACTCAGATTTTGATGAAAACGTTGTAGCAAGAGTTTGGGGCGATTCAGATTGATCAGACGTTGAAAATCTAGAATTTAGATCTAGGGCCCGACCGCGAGGCTGAGAATAGGTAATTGGTAACTGGTTACGTCAAGGGAAAGCATGAGCAAGCTGTCTTGCTCTTTGTATGAATTTGGCAGTTTTTGTGCACCTTGACATGATGCCAGGTAGCAGACACTTACTGGAAGTCTTCTTCAGGTTGCCTTCACTGCTTAATCTTGGTTATCTTGCGTTTTTGTTCGTCTATCAAAGTGAGAAACATATTCTAGTCATTCTGTGATCAAGGGTGACTGCGCAGATGACTAGACAGACAAATTTACACTACAAAAGTTCTGTTACAAAGTGGACAGGTGATGATGGCAGCAGTTGAAGATCTGTTCTTCCTAGTCAACCTTCACTGCTCAGCTGCAGCAATTTGGTTATTTTCACAAATCTCTTCACCCTTGCAAACAATTAGTCACCACTTGACTTTGTCTTGGACAGCCTGTTCACGTGTTGTGTGGTTGATGCTGAAGGCCTTCAAGGAGGCTTTGAGGCTGTCTTTGAAAGGCTTCTTCTGGCCCTCACAAGAGTGTTTATACTTTCCTAGTTCACCAAACAGTTATTTCTTGGGCAGCCGATGATCTGGCATGAGTGCTAATTGACCTGCCCAGTGAATCATGACTGCATTAAGATGGTGAAGATGCTAGGCAGGCCTGCACATGTGAGCATTTCAGTGTCTGTTAGTTTTAGTAGAGGTTTTACGACGCTCGCAACTGCATAAGATCATATGAGCGCCAGAAGATTGGAGGTGTTACAAGAGCGTACCAAACATAAAAAAGAACAAGGGGGGATAAGGAAGATAGATTTTTTATAGGAAAGAAGAAGCAAACCACACCAGAGCACCCTCCAACCACCCACATTTTAGTGTCAGAAAGCTAGTCATGCCTTTTAATGCCTATGAGTCCTCTGAGACTGATGGTGTCAAAACAGTTCTTCAATTTCCGGGCATCACTGTTGTATACAGTCCATGTTTGGCAGCCATAGAACAAGGGGGTTAGAACTATGGCCTGATTAACCTTGAGCTTGGTTGCTAAGGTGATGCTTCTCCTGGTCTGTACGTTCTCATGGAGTCTACTGAAAGCAGCACTAGCTTAGCGGTAAAGTTTGAAAGAATGACTTGTTGAAATATGGATCTTTCCTCGATTCACTTCAGGGATTAATAGCAGACATAAAGTAAAAATAATTTATTGGGTGTACCAGATGCTGAATTTTTAAGACCAACTTGTTTGTTCCTTTATTTTTGGGTTTTTTCTTTCAGCTTGTTTGAAAATTGTTATAGTGATTGTTCTGTCATTTCTGTTCAATACTCTCTCCTCAGACAAGTGGGCAGTGTAACTTTACCAAGTACCTCCAAGTTGCGGCATTTCATCAACAACACTCTAGTGGACACTCTTTTTTATACTAGTCCCCTGTACTGTCAGGTAAAGAATTTTGACTTGGCTATGGGCACTTCCTGTTTAAAGTTTGTGTTCTCTCTGTGTACTTATTGCCAGTGAATTCTTTTGACGAATCATTGAACTACATTGTAGTCAGTGCGCCTTTCTCATTTTCAAAATTGCTGTTTTTGAGCCATGATCAAGGTTCTGTTTCATTAGAATTGAGATAATTGTGGTTAGGCTGTTTGTTACAAATTTTTGACTGGACCTGCAAATATTTCTATATTTTGTAGCAGAATGTTCATCTAGTACTATGCGATTGGCTTCTTTGTCTTACCCACATAACACCCATGTGTATGCGCATTGATGCTTTCACAGAGATTGTGCCAACCAATACACTGCCCTCAGTGAGATAGATGGTGTAAAATAAGTTAATATCTTCTTGTCGGTTGTCATTTTCATGATGTGTGCTTGAACTTTTTTTTCACAGAGAGTATGTGAAACAGTTGGTAGTGAAATGAACAGAATGTTTCACATTTTCCTGGAACGGAACCAGTCTTTCAGTGGAGATGTTTCGGTAGCCGGGCATAGTTTAGGTGAGTACAGTGCTTGCTTTTAAATTTAATGTTCTCATGACTGAAATAAATTTGGATTTAAAGTAGGGAGTTTGCAGACATTTAGAAATGCTCTTTACGTGTCTGTGTGTGTTTTGTTGATTTTACGGAAAGGAGTTGATGAGGAAATGTTATGGGATAGATTTTTATAAGATGTAAGTGTCAAAAGTGTTTTTCAGTTTGTGACTCGAAATGTTATTGTACTTTTTCTTCTCCTTGAGCTGATTTTCCTGTGGTTGTAAAAGTGTTGCAGTATTCTTGATGAACATTTTTAAAGTGATTCCAAGTTTGTTACGGGTACATACTCTTTGTTACTGCTCTCAGTTTTGAAGAACAAATTGCGATGTTTATTATTAAATTCATTTCATGTACATGTGACTGCTGCAGTATGCCTGCATTTGAGTTGAAAATAAATTTTTTTGTTATGTAAAACTCTGTGCTTCACAGTCTGTGTAAGATTTAAGTTCAGTGTTATTTTTGGGTAATCTGTTATTGCAGGGTCTGTTATCTTGTTTGACCTTCTGATCAACCAGCGACTCCCAGGGGAATCTCAGCTCGCTCCCACTGACCTTGTGGCTCCGTCAGATGTAAGAACTTTTTTTTCGACAATTCTTTTCTCAGAAAATATAATTAACTGAAACTTGTATCTCTTCATTAATCTGTGATATAATGGCAGCTCAGGGAGAAATTTTTACTTGTTGGATGTTTACATGCAAATAATGTAATTTGTCGTGCTGAGCCAGCTTCTTTTTTTAATTTTTAAAGTGATCCATTCAGACTTCTGTCAGGTATTTGTTGTTGTTGTTGTTATGGATAGCAACAGCTGGGCTCTCGCCCTTCTGTCCAGTGCCATGTAGTGATAAATGCAGGTTTGCTGCTGTTGCGTCAGGTATTTGAACACACTCAAATATTTTTCACCTCTGGCTTATCCTTTTAGATGTGCTTGTTTGAAAGCGTGTGTGTGCATGCGTGTGTGAGAGAGAGAGAGAGAGAAACATTTTGGGAAAGAGAAAAATTAGAATCCTACTCGTACTTGAACCCTGACCCTCAGTGTCTTTACCAAGTTAGTGGCCAATTGCACCACAAGTTTCTGTGAATGCTAATGGCCACTAAAAGTGTCGTGCAATTATAAATATATAAAGTAGTTCATTTTACTTTTTCTTTAAAAAATCAGTTCTTTTGTACTTTTTTCCAGGTTGTTCCAGATGTTTCTGCAGTGTCACAGGCCTTGAATGGGGATGTTTCGGCAACGGAGGACAAGGAGGAAGAGGAGCTCACTCTAGAAGCATTGTTGTCTCGTGTAGGACTGCAAGACAAGGCCACTTTATTCCAGGAAGAACAAATGGATGTTGAATCTTTGGTAAGCTTTACTTCCGGTGTCTGTTGTCTCTTCACTGTTGCTGCTGCACGCGTTTTTTTCCCCCACCGTTTGCATATTTTTGTGTACCTAGCGCCCATGACTTTTTTCCGCTCCAAATATCAGTCTGCAAACATTTTGAATATAAAGGAGTCTTCATCATTGCCTTTCTCACCCTGCACCAGGGTATAGGCCAGGAATAAAGGAGTAAGTGCTCATCAATATATTGAAAACGATATGTTTCGCTTTATGATTATAAAGAGTTCTAATTATAAGGATTGTGAGGAGGGGTTTGTGACAGATGACTAGGTCTTCTTCTACTCTTGAGGTGTATTTTATATTATGATGGTATACATTCAAATTTGGGATTGCTTTCATGGCAATATATTTCGTGCCTCATATTCTGTTGAGTTTCCCCACAGATGCTTAATGCATTTTATTGTCTGTTTTAGATAATGTGCAGTGAACAAGATCTCAAGGACATAGGTCTGCCCATGGGCCCAAGGAAAAAGCTTCTGGGATTGTTAAAAGAAGAACAAGAGAGAAAGGTAAGTGAAGATGTCTGCTTTCGCAGATTTACAAATGTCATCTTGAGAATTTCCAGTGGGAATGCTTTTCTGTAATGCTTAGTTAAAGACTGCCATGCGCCTTTTTGCAAAGTGACGTATGACAGAATCTTACACTGAGCAGTCGATATGTTTCCTTTAATTCCCTTCACATGCTGTGTTGCTTTTGTTTTTCACTTTGTTTCTTTTGTCTCGATGACTTTTGATGAGACACATTATCAGCTTAGCTGGCATCATATTAGTAAAGGTGCAGCTGACCTGGATCTTAGTCCCTAATCAGATTTTCTTGATCATTGGTTGTTTGAGGAGTCCACTTGCTCTGTATGCCTTTGTGTAAACTCAGAAGTGCTTGTTACAGTTAATGCTTTAATTTAAGACGTTCACTGAACCGTTATTATGTTGTTAATTATTACAGTTGCAGATATGATTTTTTTTTGTCAATGACCTTACAGCAGACCAGCCAGAAGGAAAAAGCAGAAAGAAAAATGAAGGAAGAAATAGAGAGAAAGCAGGCGGAGCTGAGGATAGCGGCAGAAGCTGCTAAATCTGTTTCTTTGGCAAATGAAGGGTAAGAATTGCTCTTGTATTATTCTAAGATTTTTTAACTAGCTCTCTGTAGGAAAGGAGAAAAACAAGAAAGAGAATGAGTGAAGATAGTTCTTGAAGTACCAGCTAAATATTGAGGCTCAGGTACTATTTATTGTTTAAAAATCTTGGAAGTGGCCAGATACCGTGTGTTCTTGTTTACTTTTTATGAATTACAAAGTGAATTCAAATGTGTATTAATGCTTTGTGAATATAGTATACAGTAATTGTAAAGATCATCTTCTTCTGTAAATCATGGAGACTGGTTTAGCTGGTTTGCAAAGTGTCTTATTTTGTAGACTTACAAAATGTATGTCTTTGTATCAATGTATTTTGAAAAAATGTTTTTTTAGAATCCGAGGATAAGATAGTTTGCTCTGTGGAACAATAGTTTCTGTTTGAATGCATGTTTACAGTCATGTTTTACATTTATAAGGCCTTAAAAATAATATGTTTTCCTCTTCTTCTGAAGCAATCAAGTGACAGCAAAGTATATCCAAGGTCATTATGGAGCAGGCCAGTTGAAAGTCTCCTACCCTCAGCTGGACTTTACTCCTAGTGCTTTATTTGCTCTGGGTTCACCCATACCAGTATTTCTCTCTCTGCGGGGAGTTCAGGAAATTGGAGAATTCTTCCAGCTGCCTACGTGTCCAAGAGTCTACAATATATTTCATCCAGTGAGTCGATGTTGACTTTTTACATTATTATACAGATTTGTGTCATTTTTATGTCTGCATTGTGCATATAAATGCCTTTGTACGTTAATGCTGCATGTATTTTAATACCTTTGTGGGCTCTGATATGTATTGTAGAGTGCCTTGAGGATTGTGAGTCATAGAAATACGTCTTATAAATTGCAAGTGTTTTTATTAATTTTATTTTTGTTTGAGAAATGCAGTAAACAGAAGAATTAAGTTTTATTACTCTTAAGAGTCCACGTAAGTTTTGGACAGCTCATTTTTTAAATTAACAATTGTTAAATTCTGGATTTGTTAATGTATGTGTATTTTTATGTTGTGATTGTTTTTTATGCTGTTATATGATTCACAATAGATATTTTTTGTTTTAGTATTTTAACTGAATGTCTTTACTGTTGCGGACTTTTACCGGCACAAACATTTGGGGGAAGGGGGGGGGGGGGGGTGTTCAAAACTTGTTTGTACAATATCCTGCCTGATATAACGCATCATTGATTATTTTTTCTTATTTCTTTTACCTTTTACAGTTTGATCCTATGGTGAGTACTGATATTGAGACATTTGCTTTCCCCTTTCCTCATTATTTTTGTTAAAGACACACAACTTTTATACCACAGACAGAGATTCAAAATCTGCCTAGCATGAATATTCTGAACTTTCAGTTTCAGAGGATTTTAAATGATATGAACTATATTTTTTTTTAATTCAGTGTTTAAAAAAATTAGTGTGTGAAGTGTTTTTATCAGAACTGCTCTCTTTTTTTTACATATGTGTTACTCATTTGAGCAGATATAATGTTGGTTTTTTTTACTGTCTTTACTCAGGTATACTGGAGAGAGAGAGTGAGAGGGGGGGAGGGAGGGAGAGAGAGAGAGAGAGAGAGAGAGAGAGATCGCTATTGGAACTGTGTGGTACTCATGTTCTTTGTATTATTGCAAAGGTTATTGAGCACTCTCTCTGTGGAAGTGCGCTATACAAGGGAAATTTTCTTTTCTTCTCTTCTTGTCATACTGATGATTATTACAATGCCTCACAACACAGGCATACAGGATGGAACCTTTGATCCGTTCCAACACCTCCACTGTGAAGCCAGTGCAAGTTCCCCATTATAAAGGAAGGAAGAGGCTGCATTTAGGTAAGAAAACTTTCGAACAAAGAGTATTATTTGTATTCAGTGACCTGTGTGATTTGTCTTTGAGGCCTAGGTAGTGTTGAGGGAACTTCTTGCAGTGTGTACTAGTATATTGACTAACTTTGTCCAAAATCATGGTCCCGATTTGGATTTTGAAAAATGACTGCCTTGCGCCCGACAGGACCACCGGTGTCTGTGGGTAGAAGTTAGGCTTGCAGAAGACTGGAGTTAATTTATGTGTGGGGAGAATTTATATCAAGTATTTTAGTCTTTCTGCTGGAATGTTGTTTTCCCAGGGCTGCTCACCATTACGAATTTGGCAGAAATCATTTCGATTTTAGTTCAATTTTCTGAAAATATGATTGTTATACCCCTGATTCCAATTTTTTTTTTAAATTGGCTAGTACAACCTACTGCCAACATTGCCTTCCTGGTGTATAAGGGGAGAAAAATAGAAAAACTACCAGACCTGGTCAGTCTATGTCACCACATCAAGTGCAGCTGTCTGACTTTAACCCTATCCGTACACCTGGGGTCATTTTGTACTCCAGGAGTTGTATTCTTCACATTTCAGAACACTTCTAGTGCGAAGTTCTCTCTGAGACTTTCAGTATTTCTCAAAAAATCATTTTGACAGACTGCTTTGCAAAGCGTACGGATCGGATTAACGAGTAAATTTCCTCTTTGGAAAGTGAGGGCACAGAGTTCCTCATGTCGTATGGATACGATAGTAAAACACAACATACAGATAGGGTTAACATCCTCTTTGCATTGACTCCTTTTAGTCACTCTGTGCCACTTTACCCTCAGAAAAAATTAGACTTTAGAAGTGCCAAAGCCAGTAGTAAGGCAAACATTACGTTGACATGGTGTTATAAAATTTCTGCCCTATTGTATCATCACACCTTTGCTTTCGTTACATTTATACTATACTCATATACTGGACTACAACTTCTGTCCTTGACACCCCATCGCAGAAGATTTTCCTACAACTTCTGTCCTTGACACCCCATCGCAGAAGATTTTCCTACAACTTCTGTCCTTGACACCCCATCGCAGAAGATTTTCCTAAACCATATTACGAATTTTTAAGGCAGTTTACGAAATTTCCTTGGCTGATTAGTAAAACACATGCTTGTGAGTGGGCAGCTCTGTTTTCCTCTCAGTTCAGGTTGGGTCAAAGCCTGCCTCCTAAATGATCTAAATTGAGCCGATAGCATAAAAAGTACCTACATTTTTAAAAAGCAAAAAACATAAAGCATTTCAGCATGCCCTGGTTACTTGAAGAGGCTTTTGTTTTATCCTCCAAGCTGACAGCTCAGACATACCTATGTCGGAGATGAAAATTTGTCCAAGAGTACTATGTACTTTCTTTTCCATGTCCTTTACCGTAGCCACTAGTATTCGGTGTCCCAGAATTGTTCGTTTTTAAGTTCGAATGATTTTGAATGAAGAATAGAAGTGTGTAGAGTGCTGTTTGATTTCACACTTTTCAGGATGTTACGGTGATAAGCAGGGAACAGTGTGTATTTGATTTATGTCGCAGTCTATTACGTATTGGACTGATTTTTGTTTTCTTCCCCATTAGAATTCAAAGAGGCCGTGACAAGGTATGGAACAGACATAAAACAGAAACTCATCGACTCCTTCAAGAGCACATGGAATTCTATCAATGACTTTGCAAAAGCCCACACGACCGGTGGAAAGGCGACGACAATGGAGAATGAGGTGCAGTCTGGAATGAAAGAGATGATGTCCCATATAGCACAGCAGCATTCAGAGGACGATAAAGCTTGTGAGTGGAAAGTGTATTTGTTTGTGTTGGTGATTCATACCTTTCCAAGAGGCTCTCGTGGCTTAGAGGTTAAGGTGTTTGCCTCTCATTCAAAGGTCCCGTGTTCGAATCTGGGTAGCGCCGTAAAATGTTTTCTCTCTAAAATTGTCTCCTTTTAACTCCTTTCCTGCTTTCTAGCAATGTTCTGTCGTCTTCGTCTCCACTTTCTGCCCCCACCCCCTCATCTCCTTTGCTCCATCCTCTGGGCTCGTAACTCTTTCTGCAGCCTTTCTACTGCTTCTCCTTTGCCCCTTCTTACTGCTGTCTTTCAGCCACACCCCTGACCTTCTGGTAGGAAAGATCTACACCAAGCCTTCTTGGACAATAGCGAAAAATCTCGGAGGTTCCGTGTGCAAGTTGTGCACTTTGAAGATCCCTTAGTAGTCTAATATCGATAAGAGTAGGCTTCAGCCGCCACCTGGGCAAAATTCGAAATTTCCTACCAACTGAAAATGTTTAGTGTGTCGCGTGGGCTCATTTGACCTTATGCAGTTGCGAGCGCCGTAAAACATTTACAAAAATTATTGTAACCAGTAGGTAATTCCACAAACTTGGCAGACATTCATTCATTTTCACTTATTTTTTTCACTTTCGTTCCTTTGCATTGGTAATTTGAAAGTGTCAGGGATGTTACTAACTAGTGCTTTTATTTACTTCTGAACTTCTTCAAATGTTGTTGTTTTGGGTTTTTTTTTATTAATAAGGGTATTTTTTTTAATGGTCTTTTGGTCACTTGTTATCTGTTTACGGTCATGTATTGATTGTGTGTTAATCAGCAAACACAAAACAATATTGTTTCTTATCATATTCATAAGTAACCTACTGTTATAAAAAATGCACTTTGTTAGTTTTTTTTTTCAACTAGTTTAATGTTCATGTAGTGATTGTTTTACCTCCAAATTTGGTCTTGAGAAATGGCAACCTTAGGGGAGAATACATTTCTTTTAACAGTGATGTTTCTTTCGATGTTAAAACCTTCTGTTAGTTTGTGCTTTAATCTTTATTGGTTGCTGTTTGCTGAATATTTCGTTTTACTTTTTCGTTCCTATGAGCAGTTTGTGCTGATGGGGGGTATAAACACGCCGACCTACATTGAAACATTTTTCTTTCTCCAGCTGTGTCATCCATGGCTGAGGAAGAGATCCACATGGGACAGCTGAATGAGGGCCAGCGAGTGGACTACGTCCTGCAGGAGGGACCTCTGGAAAGCTTCAATGATTACCTTTTTGCCTTGGCTTCTCACTCTTGTTATTGGTCAGTACCTAGGGAGTACCAAAGATTTTGTACAAAACTTTAATGTGTTCATGATTTGTGGAGTTTGTCAGCGTCGATATTCTACTTTGTGAAATGTTATTTGTTCACGCTGTACACGTTATGATCTAATACCAAGTAGACACTGCCGATCGGATGCATCGGATTGAGTCAGGGTCAGCCAGATTTTCCTTCACAGATGGGGCAAAAGCCACCAGTTTTGCACTATATGACTAATTTGACCTGTGATCTTAAGTACACAAACAGGTTTGAAATTGAAGATCACAGTCGGATTTATTTGAATTTGGTTATATTGTGCTTAAATAATAGCTTTTGCCCCATCCATATTCTGGCTGGCCCTGACTTACACCAATTAATCAAATGAGCAGTGTGCTTTGGGTTTAACGGAATTCCTTTGTTTTATACCAACTGTCATTTTGTTTTGTAAGCTTTTAAGATGTCCAGTGAGTAAAATGTTAGAAATATGTGCAGACTGTGAGGTTGTGTGAATTGTTTCATGCTGTGTCATTGAGCGGAGTATTATTCTTTTGGCTTCTTGTGGACACCTGTGTGTCTTATGTTACAGTTGTAATGTAACTGAAGGAACGGGTATTGACTAAGTTGTTAAGGTATCAGATAAAGTTTAGACACCTTTAGTTACAAATTCTGACTTCCACTTATTTTTACTTTGTTGCGTTGGCTGTGAGTTGTGAGATAACACTTTAAAAATGTTTATATAGCGTATGTTGCTATGATTATATACGTTTGTACATTTTCTACTTTCTGTTTCCCAATCAGGGAATCTGAGGATACTGCTCTTTTGGTGCTGAGAGAGATCTACTCCCCGCTGGGAATCAGACCTCAGATGCCAGGCGAAGACAGCGGAAAATCCTCCCGAGAGTCTTCCCTGCCCCCACGACATCCAGCGGGACCGCCTCCTCCCTCAACACCAAAGGCCGGGCTTCCTCCAGCACCGAGCGCCTTCCAGACCCCGCCACACAGCTCTTTTCAACCTCCTCTGATGCCGTTTCAGAATAACGGTCTGCAGCCCGGCGGCCCTAACCCTGGGTCCGCGTTCCACACCCCTAGCCCCATGCAGCCCCCTCCGGCTGGCCCGCCTCCTACCATGTTCAGCCCAATGGGCACGCCTCCGACGGCTGGTCCAGGGGGGATGAGGAAGTCGCCGTACGTGGCTCCTGATTTCTCCAACCTGCCCAGTAACATGGGAGCAAGCCCTACTGGACCCCCACCCATGGGCCCGGCAGCTGCCGGTGGCTACCGTAGAATGCCTCCGCCGCAGTGAGGGGAAACAGATTTATGTAGGGTTTTTTTTACAGCGTGCCCCCATTAGAATGGATTTGAAAGGGGATATGTGTGTCCCATTATACTCGAGTCTATTTTACCCGAGTATAATGTTATTTCATAATAGGCCCAGAGGCTAACATTTTAAACGTACAGTGCAGATATAAATTGAAAACAGTGAAAAATCGCTCTTTCATCAACAAAAATATCAGGGTATCACAGCACTGCTACTGGAAGGTGTCAAAAATGAATGCAGAGTATTTAGTTTAGCGGTTGTGCCTTCAGAGAGAGGCTCTACGTCACTACATGTGATGTGAACTGAAACAGTATTTTCTGAGATTTCATCGTGCCCAGGCAATGAAAGTCTTTTTTTAATGAGGGTGCTTTGTAATGTGACCAGTTGTCACCAGTTGGACCAAACCTGCTCATCAGTAGTGAATCACATCATGATCAGGTTTAGTATATTATATCATAGCTGGGAGAGGGCTGATGGGGGCGGAGAATAATCAATGTATAGTAATTTGTTTGGGGGTTTTGTTTTGTTTTTGTTTTTTTGGGGGGGTTTTTTGTTACCTTCATTTCATGAAATATGTGGTCAGTGAAAAATATTTTGAAAGTGGAGAGAAAAAAACCCTGAGAAACAGCTTTATGAATGCCCAATTAAGTCTATAGTTACTTGACTCTATGTGACCCAGCTATTGAGTTCTCTTGAAAAGAAGTAAGGTTTGCTTCAGGGGTTTTGGAGGTCTTAAAACTATTATTGGCCCCTTAGCTTGATTGGAGTATTCCTATGTATCGATTGCTATTACTTCCTTAAATAGCATACATTTGTTTTCGGCTAATAGGGTATTGAGTGGAGTATGGGTGTGATAAAACATACTTTTCTATCATAGTAATGTGTGTATATATGTTGTTGGATCGAGAACCAATCTTATGTTACTGGAATTAAGAGTCTAGGAACTATTTATTGAATGAAATGGATGAAAGTATGTGGGCTGCTGTTAATCCCTTGTATCAATAATATATTTCTTTCCGACTTCAATGAAAAAGACTATCTTGAATTAGCCAGGAAACCTTTACGGGATTTCCTATTTGTGGAAGAAGAATGGGTGTTAAGAAAGGAAGAAATTGAATGCATTTAAATCTGGGGTGTCGTTTTTTCCGTTTTGCAGTTCTTTGATCTGACTCAAATGAGTACATTGAAACATTTTTCTGAAAGCCATATTTATTTATTTATTTTTTGCCCATATTTAACTTTGGCAGTTCTTTTTATTTGTGGGTCGGAATCATGCTTGAAACTCAGCATAAGACTTTGTCTTCATACACTTTTTCTCCATTTGTTTGTACCACATTATATGGCTGTGTTGTAATAATTTTTTTTTCAGTCTGTTTTTTATGTTTTCAGTGCTTTGTCCTACAATAACCCATATGATGACTTTTCTGTTGATCGTTTATTACTTGTCTGGATGATTGGCAGATGTAAAGAGAAAGAAATAAAGTATGTTTGTGGGGGAGAAGAATATTGCAACTCTTCACAAACCAAAGCATGTTGAAATGATGATTACTGGCTATCTTAACTGTACAATGGAAAAGTCAGAAGTGAAGGAAAAAGCATTTAATTGTTACTTTAGCAGGTAGCAGTGCAAAACATGATTTATTTCACTTCTGAACACTATATTGTTATGTATCAAATGCATAGATATTTATTCTTTTTGTATTTATTATGGTTTATATTATTATTTATGAGGATTTTAGAGATATAACGGTATAACAGCTTGCCATGCTGCCATTCAATGATGGACAGACAGTGTAATTGTTTTGCTCAGGTAGCCTGTGGTTGCTAATTTTGTTTTATTTGCAGTTTACTTTTCTTTCCATTCTTGGAAACTAACCAGTCAACTGACTCTTGTTCATGTTATGTACAAGTCACTTTACATGATCATTACATTCATTTATGAGATGCCGGCTATACTGAATTCCCTGCAGCTGTTGCACACATTTTGCCATGGACTTGTTCTAGTCAAGTGTTCATTTGCTTGAAATTATGATTAGTGTGCAGTAACCCTTGTACATTTCCTAAATGAGATTAGACTATCTGGTTGTCTGTAGGCCAATATTGAGGGTCATAAGATTGTGATCTTAGACTGGCACTTCATATCTTGAAGTCTGTTCCCCCACTGTGCACAGAAATTAGCACTAAAAAAACCCCAACTGAATACAGTAGACTATGAGGGAGAAAGACATTTTCAAGGCAGAATACTGATGAGGAGGGGTAGTATGATGTGAGAAATTACACTTTTCATGAAAGGAGCAGGTGAAAAAATATGGATGATGGAGGTAAAAAATTGTGTTCTCTAAATGGCCACAAATAACTTCCCCCAAGATGTAGTTTATGAGTTGACCTAGAGGTAATGTTTAAAGTTGTAATTTGAAACTAACACGAGAAGAGGTATTGAGGTCAAGTCAATTCACATGAGAATTTCGAAGTAATTTCTGTATCATAAGGTGTCACAGAGTTTAGTTGTTTCGTTGGTTTTTTTTACTGCTTTCTGATCTGGTTGCGTGGGGCTTTATGTACCAGTACACAGGTAGGTTAAATACAGCAGCCAGCTTGAAATGAAGCTTGTCAGATTTTTCCTCTTTGTCACCAGATAGTTTTCACTTTTTATGAAAACAAGGGCGTGAACTATTGGGCTGCTTTACTTCATACTCTTTGTTGGTGAGAAATGATTGAATTCTAAAACGATCACATTAAAATGTTCTCTACTCCTGTTCCAGGTCATTAAGGTGTTCCCTTCTTCTAGGCTATTGCTTATTATTTTTAAAGCATTAAAAGGTTTTGTGACTTATCTATTTTCAAAGGCATTTTGATCACATCACTGCAGGTTACTTAAGTTTATTCATTTGTTTGCGTTAAGATAAATTCAAGGTGCTGTCTGTGCAATGTTTTCATTGTTCCTTGTCGCCCCAGAGAAAATATTATTTTCCTGTACAGAATCGAACATGCTACCAGTAAGGATTTCATGGTTGTTTGTGGGGTTAAGTGAATGGTCAAACTGAATGTCAAGATGTGAGTTTCAATATGGATTTCCTTTGGCTGTGTGCACAGAGTGTATTTCTGTGATGTGTCGTTTCTGAATGACTGAACTTTCCTTCATTTGTTTTCAAGATGTACCTACCATTCGTTTACGAATACTTGCCCTGTCACTGTGTTAAGATTAACATTTTCCTCTTGGTGCAGGATGTATAGTTTCTCTCTTTGTTTATGCTCTGTTATGTATGGTGTTCAAGCGTCTCTGTGAATATGATTTCTGTGTCATTGTGAAAGTGGATTCTGTATCTTTTTGGAAGCAAGGAGTTTCTCCCTGTAACATGCTGACATCAATAAAACATGTAGGAGAGGATTTTGTGTTGTTCTTCTTTATTTTTGAAGTGCTGATGAGGTTGATTTTTTTTTTAAGATTATAGTAACAATAAACGTAGCCAAAAGGCGTGCGCTAATTTTTAAAAAAACTATATTTGCATAATCTTTTCTGTGTCCTTTTGTAGTTGGTCAGTTTCTTTATTTTACTGCTCCACTGCCTGACTCTCACTTTACTCCTTGTTCCTATTTTTGTGGGTGGTTGACGGGTGATCTGGTGTGGTTTTCTCCTTCTTTCTCCTTCTTTCTTATTGAACACATCTATTGTCCTTATCACTCCTCCTTCTTTTTTGTGTTTGTTATCTCTCGTAACACTTCTAATCTTCTACACTTACATGACCTAACTGTGTTGCAAATGCCGTAAAACACTTACTAAAAAGCTCTTGTTTTCCTTTCACCTTTTTCTACTTGTCTGGAGGCATGTGCTGTTGCTCTCTGCCACTTGCCCCAAGTCCTACGAGAGATGGACTTTAGTCGAAAATCCCACTTCCAAAAATGACCTTACTGTGTTCAAAAGAGAGTGAAACTCATGCCATTTCATATTTCATACTTTTTAACATTTTCTGCCTGTTAGTGACTCAATCTCCCCCCCCCCCTCTTTGATTCTGTCTGTTTATATATCTGCCTGTCTGTCTATCTGTCTCTCTCTCTATCTCTCCATTTCGTATCTATCTAACTATTCAAATGTCTGTTTACCTAAGTATCTGTCCGCTTTACGTATCACTCAATCTCTCCGTGTATCTAACTTAACTCCTCGGCTATGTCGTATATTAATAGAGGGAAAAATGTGTGTGTGTGTG